ATTATAGTAAAAAATAATAGTAGTAATAATAATAATATTAGTAATAGTAGTAACAATAACAATAATTATAGTAAAATATTAGTAGTAGTAATAATAATAACAGTAGTAGTAGCAGTAATAATAATAATTATAGTAAAAATAATAATAGTAGTAGTAGTAGTAGTAATAATAATAACAGTAATATTAATAGTAGTAATCATAATAATAGTAGTAGTAATAATAATAATAATGGCAACAGCAGTAGCAACACTCGTCATGATAATAAAAGCTATGGTGGGTTGGGTGTGGGATGAGAAACGCAAGAAAAAAGATCATGCTGGTACATAGTAACTCACTGTTTTCACACATAATAAAATCTAGAATACATACATGCATACATACATACATATATATATATATATATATATATATATATATATATATATATATATATATATATATATATATATATAAATACATTTTTGCATAGGCTTGGAGCTTAAAATAAAGACACTCCCAACCAGAAAAATAACACATTCGTAGCCTGTGTGCGCGCATGCGCAGACGCGTAACGTTGCTTACACACAATCTTTTCTTTTTTTTCTTTTCCACTCTTCTCTTTAATAAAATGCAGATTCACGTTTGCACAAAACCTTAGTAAAGTGCGTTAATATTAAATCGCCTTTTACTGTTCTACGACAAAATAGGTACGTTGCTTTATATAGCATATTTCACAGATATCCGTAGAGCTGCACTCTTTGCCCAAACCCATGTATACAGACACTAGCTGTACAAACAGACACTATTGATTGAGTAACACGTAAATTCTATATAATAAACATAATACCTACACCGTCAGATAATATATTATGTAATTCCGGTTGAACAATAAGTTAAAATCACGTTATAAATAAATCAAAAATATAATTAAGTAACCCGCCATTAAAAAGGACAGAATATTTCGTTAAATCTTTACTCGGAATAGGTTTTCGTATTTTCTTTCTTTTTATGAACCGTGTCATTTCAGGACGTAGGCGATCATGGCTCTCCACTTCCTCTCATCCCTTGTAGCTCTCAATAAGTTTCGTACCTCTACTACTCCTCACTGGCCATGTTTTGCCATCCACTTGCTTAAGCCCGCCAGGTATGTCATGCGTTGTTTTCTCTTGTCTCTTTTCCCCTCTATTTGACCTCCAGGACCTCCTTTCTCATTACGTGTCCCAGAAACTTCAGCTGCCTCTCCTTGATGTTCAGTATAAGCTTTCTCCTTGTTTTTATCCTCTCCAAAACATCATAGTTGCTCACACGCTCGGTCCATAATATCCTAAGAATCTTTCTGTATAACTACATCTCCGTTGTCTTGAGTCTCTTCGCCATCGTTGAGGAGGATCGTCCAACATTCGCTGCCGTATAGGAGGACAGATATCACGTAGCAGCTCAGTACTCTTTTATTTGTTACCGAAGAAATCCTCCTGTCTCGCAATACTCTGCCCAGCTTTTGCAATGCATCCTTGGCCATCCCAGTCCGTTTTCGAATCTCAGCGTCGTACCTACCGTCCCCCGTCAAAACACTTCCCAGATTTTTAAACTTCCGCCTCTGCTTGATTTTAGTGTCACCGACCTGTAAATCGCATTTCGGGCTCATCGTTTTACTGCTGACCATGCATTCTTTCTTCTTCTAGTTTATGGTTAGACCCTTCTTCTTGTTCTCCCTCCTTACCTTCTGTAGGGGGTTTTGTAGGTTCTTTTTCGTGTCTGTCATCAGTACTGTTTGAGTCATTTAATGCATTTTTTCCAATTAGCAAATATAGGAGATATCATTATTTAATAGCGATAAGAAACCCAATCCATCACATTATGCTCAATTGATTCCTATTATAATAGTGCTTATTCTTCCCTTCGTTAATTACCACGACCGTTACGCCCTGCCAATACTACATAAATAAGGGACTGTTCCATTTTGATCGCGTAGAAAGAGGGAAAAAGACATTACTTAGTTTCAGTGAGAAAATGCAAGAAAGAAATGGAGATATAAATGAAGTGACAGAGAATCAGATTAATCTGATAAGAACAGATACTGTACTTTGATCCCATCTAAAATGCCAAGAAGAGATTGTATTTTCAACGCTTGCAGGATGTGACACAAGGTCATTTTAATGTGGGCTACCCTGGTGTGTGCACCAGGGCCATGTCCTAAAACAGCCCAACCCCACAGCTGTCGGATGCGCTGGCATCAGTATAACTACCGCCCCCTCCAGTGCAATGAGGGGAAGTACTGTCGCGGCCAGCTGTTGTCCCGAGACCGGGTACCACTCGATAATAATTTCAGTTATGCTCTGTCCACAGACAGGGACATAACTCAGAGATGAAATCTAGTTTATCCACCTGAGAAATGTTACTACACCAAAAGGTCGTGAAAAGGGTATTTTTACGTGTGCTAACGTCCCTACTGAATGTGACAGACGGTCAGTTCAAAGTGGGTTTAACGGAAAAATTGCCCAAGCCACCTCGGCAGTCCTCTTTTGGGAACGCCTCATGCGGCGAACAATAAACTCAGCCCCCTCCCGAAGGGAAATTATTTGAACTTCTCCGAGCCAAAAGGCCAAGGATCGATGGGGACCGCGATAAAAAACGTCATTTTTTGACGCACAGTATCGAACGAAAGAAACCGAGCAAGGCAATCGGCAAAAATCCATTTACCATAAATAGCATAACATTTTTTATATTATTATTAAGGGGTACGTTCATAAAATGGGGATTTGGTTAGCTTTATATTAATACTAGTTTACCTATGCTGCCAAAGAAAGATGACATGATTTAAGTTTTAACATTTATTAAGTTTTCACATGTTAGTCTTTAAATAAATTCTATCCAATTGTTATATTAATACGTAGTATTTTTAGGTGATCAGCTTATTACCTAATAACAACAGAAAACCGATAATCCACTTTAGCCCAGTAGATAGCCAATCGTATTCGAGGATAACCATTTACTAGAGCGACTAACCAATCCCTTTTGCAGACGCTTGCTCAGGTGCATTTGTGTTTATTTAACACCTACAAAGCCAACCTGTGGTCTATACTGCAACTATGCTGAGCAGACCTTAGTTACAGTTTCTGGGAGAGAGCGTGTTATCTAGCGTAAACATGGCCAGCGCGCTCAAGCACTCAGCTACGATGACTTCGTGCTAGCACAGCTATCGTTTCGTCTACCCAATTTCCGTCACAAGGCTTTGGTCAACTTTCTAAACTTTTGGCCTCGCCAGTCCATTAACATCATGGCAAATCGACCATGGTCAGATTCGAACCCGGGTCTCATGGTCAGAATGCATACATAATATGAAATATGTCTTAATACTAGTTTAGACATATCATAAAAATGATGGCATAATTTAACTCTCTTTGAACATTGTGGATTGGCGCCACAGAATCACAAAGAACTGTACCAAATAACAGAAACCACATCACTTGAGGACTACCAACAGCAGTAACAACTAAAATGGATAGCATATGTAACTCAAAGAGAAAATAATGACATAATCTAGATGTTGACATTCCACACTACATCAAATAAAAGGTTAGGAAGGAAACCACTATCAATACTAGAAAGAGCGATAACAGCTACTGGACTTGAGAAACCTGTTTTACTGAAAAAACTTTTGTGAGGGGAATTCCACTATCTGATCTGGTATATGGAATTTGAAGTGAAAATAATGACAATCAAGATATTGATGTTCTACACTACTTAAAACAAAAGGTTAGGAAAGAAATCGCCATTAATACTGGAAAGAGCGATAACAGCTACTGGACTTGATAAACCTGTTTTCCTAAAAAATTGTCTTAAAAGAAAGAGTTTATAAATTTCAACCTACAGTTATAGTAGCTGCTCGATGAATGAATGCCGAATGTTTCCTTATAGGGAAACGGCTAATATTGCCATTACCAGTATTAGAAAGATTTTAAATGTAAAACTTGAAATATATGTTTTCCAATTAGGGGATCAGTTTATTACTCAATAGCAATAGAAAATCGATCCCTCATTTGATGTTTAATGGAATCATATATTAATACTAGCTTAGCAATGCTGTAAAATTGATAGCATATTTTGCTCTTTACTATTATTATACTTTTTCATGAATATCTTGAAATATATTTCTCCAATTTTTATATTAATATAAAATTTATAGAGGTGAGATGCTTAACCACTTTGGTTAACGACTCTAAGAGGTTGAAAACTAACAGAGCGATAGTTAGAAGGATCAGACGACTGATCCGAATTCTTCGAAACTACAGAAGAGGATTTCTAACAAGGAAAGAAGGAAGAATCATTAAGGTATTGAATGTATAGCTTAGAGAGAACAGGATCCGGTTCGGGAGCAAATTTCTTTCTGGCCATTGCAGGGATACTATCATTTCCACATGCTTTGGAGATGGGGATCAAGTTTACACACGATAGAAGAAATCATGGACGGAGTTAAATGCATGCCGCGCAGCAGAGACACAGTTTTAATTGGAAAGACAGGAAAGAATACTCCAGATGAGTCAAGTGTAGAAATGGAAGAGAATTTACAAGCAGAGCATTCTCAGTAGAAAAAGATAACACTGAATGAAAGAGAGATGGGAGAATTACCGTTATTTAACACACTATTACAGATCCGCCATTAGTCACTAGAACGAAATTTGTTAGATGCTATACGCTACCTCTATTCTGACAGTGAACAAAGACTTAGCCTCATTAAGGACACGTTTCAAATTATTACGAGCGGACACAAAGAGGTGTGATCAGAGCTGTCACGTTGGTATAGCCGGAAAAAGATGATCCTTGTGGTCTACAGCGGCTGAACAGTTCGTTGTGAAACAAGATGAAGATTGTAGGTTCATCTGGAATTGTCGAGATGGCACACAAGCATCGATGCCGGCTTTTACTCAGGTAGAAACGTCAATGACAATTTTCAGTGATTCATTGATTTGTTCGATTTACAATTCCGAGTCTTTATCCATTACACGAGCCATACACCCAAGATTACAGAACTTGGTATTCCTGGGCGGTCACCCATCTCAGTACTGACGAGGCTTGACGTTGCTTAACTTCGGTGATCATACACGAACCGGTGTTTCAACCTGATATCCTCATAAGCCATACAATTCTCAATGAAAGCATTAAAATTTTCACTGCAAGGAGCATCGCGAAGAAAATCTTAGTCTGTACGCTGGTAAGAGAAAAAAAAGTATTATTGAATAGGTGGTTAGTGTTTAATAAAAGGAAATATCAAGAGGAACTACAGCGGGTTTCGAACTGGCAATAGGATAAATTTGCTTTACTTGACAATAGCCAGGAGAGAAGGCAGGGAACAAATCAAATAAAGAAATATGATGATCAGAATTATTAGGGAAACGTGTAGAGAAACCTATTATAGGAAGTTTAAGACACAGGAGAGTAATTGATAGCGGCTCGGATTGCAGAATCGGAGAGCCGAGTTCGATTTCCAGTCGAATCCATTACATTCACTTACGTGCAAATACCCTTTGGAAATGTATGAATCCTCTTCTTCTCCACCCAGTTATGGGTAAATAGCAGGACAGACTGGGTTCTATAGCCTTGGATGGCAACTGGTCTACCACAGAAAGAAATGGCAACCTACTACTGGGAAAAATCTGCCTCGTCAGTCATGTATCGAAAAATACATGATCGCCTAAGCATGTATCACGCATGGCACATAACTGAATCAGAGAGCCGAGTTCGAATTCCAGTCGAATCCATTACATTCACTTACGTGCTTTGGAAAGGTATGAATCCCCTCAGCTATGGGTAAATAGCAGGACAGATCATGTTCTATAGCCTTGAATGGCAACTGGTCTACAGCAGAAAGAAATGGCAACCTAACGCGGGGAAAAATCTGTCTCGTCAGTCATGTATCTTTCGATACATGATCGCTTACGCGTGTATCACGCATGGCTCATAACTGACTGACTGACGGCGGCATCACGTTGAAACCCCGGTTCTCGCACGATCACCGAAGTTTAGTAACGTCAAGTCTGGTCAGTACCTAGATGGGTGACTGCTTGGAAATAAGAAGTGCTATAAGCTTGAATATGCGGGTGGTGTAATAAATAACGACTCGGAATTCTTAATCGGAGAGCCGGGTTCGAGTTACAGTCAGATTCGTTATATTAATTTATGCGCAAATACCATTGGGAAAGCTAAAAAATCCACCTCTTCTTCCTCCAGCTATGGATTAATTAGTAAGTCTTGTAAAGGTTGATAAGCCGTAAAAAAACAAATCAATCAATCAGTTAACCTGTTAGTTGTCTGAGAGACTGAGCAACTGAAAAATTGAAAGCCAGAATACCGGCAACATTAGAATGATTAAAACACTTGATATGATGAGCATTAAAACGACCAAACACAAAGATCTTTCTAGACGACTATAGGAAGAGAATTATTTCTATACTGTCAGATATTTTGTCTATTATGTTACAGTCCTGAGAAGAAGGGGAGCAATAAATGAAAAAGTGATAGCTAACAAAATAAAATAAAAAGGAAGGAAGAAATCATTCGGGGAGGGAAGAGACCATTCTCTTGCCATATTCCTGGATGTAAGCATCAAGGCTATGCATATGCATCTTAAAATCTTTTCAATAAAGAGGAAGATGACTTGGAACATAGAATTAACTGGTACAGACAGAAAACTAAGAGAAAATAATCTACATTACAGAAATTGGCGCGAATACCACGAGTAATGGATAAAGAAAAGATGGGTAGGGGCAGGTGATTTTTTCCTTACATGTTTGCTCTAATTTCTTTTGCAATTGTCATGAGTAAATTATTTTAAATTTTAGGAAGAAAAAGTCCAAAATAATTATCACTGTCCATCGTCTAATTCAGCGTGTCTTAACTGGTGCGCCAGGATACACTGATGAACTCTGAAAGGTACCTAGTTGAGTCTCAAGTTAAAACGAGAGCAATTTATGAATTATTTTTATATTCAAAAATTTTTTTTTATAAAAATGCCAAAGACACCAAGCACGTGGCTTCCATGTTTAAGTCAAAGTCTTTGTTATTTGATATTTTAAAATGGATGCTAATTTCCTTAATCTTTAATAAGGAGGGGATAATCCTTTTCTCTTTGCTTTCCTCAAGGGATAACATATAAGGTCTATCATTCAAAAAGTCAAATCAAGCAAAGGTTTCACACAAGCATATTTAAATATACAATGTAATGTCTTAAAAGTAAATGCTTATTTCGGTAGACTTCTTTATTATTTTAAAATTTCATGACTAATTTTTCCTTATTAAAATTGAAAGGTTGAGAAACTCTGACCTAGACAATTACGAGTGTGTAACTGGCTCTTGCATCATACGGTTGGCTAATTATGGGTTAGTGAGGCTATTTATGCTATAGTTCAGATGGATAGCCATTGACTCTGAAGAGTTCATCCTCTCTATAACAGCTTGTTGCTTTTTATATTGCTAAGATTCCACTTACTCTCCTCACCAGATCTTCAAGATCACCCCCCCCTGCTCCCCTTCCAGACCCCTTACTAGAGTGTAGTGAGTGATCTTCAAGTATCCTTCATTGAACCTGGTATGAAACAGTCAAGTAAATAACTCTGGATTCCTAAGTGTAACACAATTTATACATCTGAAAAGAAAGAAATTATTAGATCGTATGAGAAATTGTATAAAAACTAAATCAAAGCATCTTGTCTATCGTATTCAATGAAATTTGCATATATATATATATATATATATATATATGCAAATTTGATTGAATACGACAGAACAAGGTGCTTTAATTTATATATATATATATATATAAAAATCAAAGCACCTTATATATATATATATATATATATATATTTCGTGTAGTTTTTTTTTAGTTTTTATTTTGAGCATATTTGACTATGAAAAATATCAACTGATGCTGCTTTACCCATGATATATATATATATATATATATATATATATATATATATATATATATATATATGAGGTAAAGATTAAATACAGATCAAATATGGACGACAATCCGACAGATTATAAAAGCTTCGTCAGAGATTGCGAGAAAACAGTGAAAAAAGACAGAACTTTGGTATTTTCAATTTTGGTTTAGGCCAGTTCTCATTGGTCAGTCATGTATCACGTGCGTTAAAACCGTAGGTAATTCTATATGTGTGCAAGTTTGTAAAATTGAAACATAACATTGAAAATAACAAAGCTCTGTCTTCTCTCAGTCTCTGACGAAGCTTTAATAAAAGTGAAACCTGTTAGATTGTTCTCCGTTTCTTATTTGTTCTTTATCTTATCATATATATATATATATATATATATATATATATTTTTTTTTTTTTTTTAAGCATTTCACCCCAAGCAAGGCGGGGAGCCACTAGGACGCAAGGGGTTACAGAAAATAGGAAGATCAGATAGGAGTGATAGAAGAAAGGATGAGGGTAGTAGATAGATTAAAGGCAACTGGAGATGTCGATTGACATTTGACTTGAATAGCTGGAGATTATAACTCTCAGGGAAACAGGAGAAGGGAAGAGAGTTCCACAGGCGAGAGGTGCGAGACATGAAGCTATTAGAGTAGAAGAGACGGCTACATTTATGAGTTTCGACAGTGAAGGGGTGAGAGCGGGATGCCAGCCTCGTAGGGCGCTTGAACTCACGAAGTTTGGGAACCAGCGAATGCAGTTCCTCAGGCAATTTCCATGAAAGTATTTGTAGAACAGACAGAGGGAGGCGACGGTGCGTCTGTGAGAAAGTGACTGTAGACGAGACGCCAGGGTAGGGCCAACCATATTACATATCCGCTTCTGGAGCCTATCAAGAACTCCGAGGCAAACAGAAGGGGCGCCAGACCATATATATGGCAGCAATACTCCATGCAAGGGCGAATTGTGGATTTGTATATCTGGAGGATCGACTCAGGGGAGAAAAACTTCCTAGCACGGCTCAGGGAGCCAACTTTCCTCGCAGTGGACGAGGCAATTGACTCGATGTATTTATTCCATCTCGGGTCAGCAGTCAACGTGAGACCGAGAAGCCGCAGAGAGTTGCTCTCGGGAAGTTGAGCGTCAGACATTATAATGGAGGGAAGGGAAGGCTCTCTGTGGTGATTAATAGAGAGCAGTTTAGTCTTCGAAGCGTTGAAGTTGACCAGCCAATATATATATAGGTAATAAAATGTTTTGTAATCCATATGGATAATCCCAAGGAGAATGTAATTCAGAGAGCTAAATGTCAAACAAGGGCAAATATTAATTTAATTATAAAACAGACAACCTTAAAGGTCGATTGATTTATATTTTATTTCCACAGGAAGGTTTTTTTTTCTGTTTTCTCAGATCATATTTCTAAGGCTAAATAATGGTTTTAAATTTACGTATTATTTTTATATACTTTTGAGGAGTAGTTTAAGTTGTAAGATGATAAAGAGAGGGAGCGAGGGGGATGACAGATATGGTCGAAATTAGAGAGGGAAGGGAGAGATAGGAATACTTTTAAATGTATTTTTTATTAAGATACTTAAGAGCAAGGGGGTGGGGTGAACCAAACATTGAACTATTTAATAAGTTATCTCAGGAAACAAGACAAAGAGAAAAAAAACTGATATTTTATTCCCCCAGGAAAGTGTTTTTGTCATTTATATCTTATTTCCCCTTTTCAATGGACCCTTAATTTAATTATATATATATATATATATATATATATATATATATATATATATGCAGTGTTACATTAGAACATGCACATACCCACTACAAAACTGTACATTTTGTTTCAACGTTAAAAAATTTTTTAACGTTTCATCAGGTGGGAAATCACGATGCTACTAAAATATTTTATTCCGAATTACAGTTAACGAATCACATCTTCCACTTCCGTCATTGAAAAGTTTCCCATAAAAGGTAAAAAAGAAATTAAAAGTGGAGAAAGAAAGGAAGATAAGTGATTAGTAGAAGAGCGAGCGAGAGAGAGCGAGCGAGAGAGAGCGAGCGAGAGAGAGAGAGAGAGAGAGAGAGAAGAGAAATAAAAGGGAAAAAAAGGACCAAGAAATAAAGGTTGAAAAAAAAATTAAATTAATGTTTGAACGTTGAAATCTTACCCTTCGTTCTTTTACATTTAT